ATATTGCAATTAATAGGAAAAAAATATGCAATTTTAGTCATTTTTAAGTCTCACGTATCTTATTTTTGTAGCTTCCAGCAAAAGATGGCAGCTTAAATAGCTCAAAATTGTTTTCTAAAAACTAATTCAAGCTTTGTTTGATATTGTAATACAATTATGATAATGATAATGTACTATTTATGATTTTTAATATGACTTTATAGTACCCTGCCCCTGGAAAGTGGGCGTGGTCAATGTTATCATTTTGCAGCATACAATTAAAAACTTGTATTGATAGAAAGCAAATCAATGCATTTTTAACATTTTCACTTGTTACTTGACATTGTAATTCATTTATTACTAAAATATAGGACTCTACATATTTTATATATACGTTTTCAATTTTGTACAATGTATCATGATGAAATCTAATAGGCTGTTTCATTTTCAGTGTTCACTAACGAATGAAATGTAAGTCACAGTGTTTCCAAATTACCTTTGCAATGAGAAAGTACCACAAAGACTACATAATATGAGCAGTTTCAAGGTCCTAATACTAATACTTACCAATCTATCGGCGTTCAAAAATAGAGAAAGCTGTCGTGAGTGCAGTTTTAACTAACTTTGAACTGAAACTGCTGCTTAATGAATATTTTTCTCAACATCTGTGACTTTTTTAGACCCCAAACATAAGATACCAAGACATAATGCTACCAAGTTCTGATATTGGAAGTTTCAGAGCTCCAGATCAAATATTCACTTCTGCATGTACTTTTAAAAAGACCCAAAAGGACAAAAAACAAAAAATATCGTGAAAAATATGAAAGATGCACTATTCAGAACAATTTATCTCTTAAATGTTACTTTTATTTGAAATAATTTCTGATTCTGCCTCCAGTTAGTACCACCAATAATACATATGAGAAGACTTAACGTCATAGTAAGTGGAAGTACAGATCTATTGGCTTCTGAAAATGGGAAAAGCTGTCGCAAGTATGATTTTCACCAGTTTTTCATCTAAGACTGCAACTTTCTGAATTTTCTTTTTACAAACTGCACAGTAAGACCAAAGACATAAAAGGAAATCTGGTCATTGTACCACCAATAATAAGTAAAAATAATATTGGTAATATATACCAAGTGTTTACTTTAATTCCAAGGCATCTGAATTGATAAATAAATTAAATCAGTACTTTATTGTATCTTGGGACAAAATACACTGTTTGAATGCTTAAGCTTGACTTCACAGTATCAAGTGAAAGATACGTTACAGCTATATACTGTATCACTTTAACTGACTTTACTCTTCAATTTGAAATATGCCTGGCCATCCTAAGAAAAATGCGACGGAGGGTGCATGGTATAATTGGTAATTAAGCTCTTCTAGAGTTTAAAGCTCCCACAATTTTTAAAAACGAAATGGAGAATAACATGTGAAAGTATAGGATGGACTTATTGTTCTAAGAAAGTTTTTGAAAGTAACATTGCATGAAATATTTAAGCAAGAGATATGTTCCAAAATACATTTAAGGTAGAAATAAAGCTCCGTAATGTAAAAACAATGTATTCTCAGTATTCAATAATAACATTCTTTATAGGTTTTTTGGTCTTAAGCATATCAGTGATAATCCCATGGTTGCAAGGATATAGATCGAATATCACATGAAGATATATTTGATATGTGGATCAAGTTATAATATTTTAGCAAAAAATTCACAAACCATCGAATATCACTTTTAAACTATCGAATATCGCGTCTTAAAAAGTGATATTCGATGGTTTGAAAAGTGATATTCGATGGTTTCGAATTTTTTCAAAATTTCAAAAATATTTTATATATATTATATCCACTCATGGATACAAATATCTTCACTCACTCGCTGCGCTCACTCATGAAAATATCAATATCCACTCATGGATATAAATGATATTTTTTCAAAATCATAGTATATTCCTATATCAATTTGGATGCTGAAGTCACTTAATAAATAATAACTAGATGTAACTCCTAGTAAGCACTTCAAGTTTCAGTTCTAAATAAAATACAGTTTAGTTAAAAAGTTGTTAAGAATACATACATTTTTTCACAATCACAATTTCACCATTTCTGACTGTATTTTGCATATTTCTAGGTGTCAATGGTTCAATGATTATTTGATATAACCTCCTGAAACTACTCTCATATATATTTGGTGGTGCAGTGATATGGAATCCTGTCGTTTGGGGTCTCACAGAATTCTTGTTTTAGAGAAGAAAATCCTGAAAACTGCAGTTTAATATTATGAATTATAGGTGAAAATTGCACTTGCTACACTGCTTCTCCCATTTTTAGATGCTAATAAATCTGTAACTACACTAACTATGACCTTAAGCCTACTCATATGTATTATTGGTATTACTAACTAGAGGCAGAATCAGAAATTATGGTAAATAAAAGTAACATTTAAGAGATAAATTGTTCTGAATAGTGCATTTTATCACATTTTTTTCGCGATATCTGACTGCATTTTGTGTCTTTTGGGTCTTTTTAAGAGTCCATGCAGATATGAATACTTGATCTAGAGCTCTGAAATTTTCAATACCAGAATTTGGTAGCACTATGTCTTGATATCCTGTGTTTGGACTCTAACCAAATCACAGTTGTTGTGAAAAAAATTCATAAGAAGCAGTTTTAATTCAAAATTAGTTGAAACGGCACTCAAGACAGCTTTCATCATTTTTGAAAGCCGATAGATCGGCAAGCATTTACACCATGATCTTGAATCTGGGCATACATATTCTTAATGGCACTATCTCATTGCCCAGATATTGTGGAAACATTGTGACTTATATTCCATGTGATAGTAAGCACTGAAAATGGACTTGTTGCATTGTGGCGGACCCCATATAAAACAAACATAGGGGTAGGGGGGGGGGTTTAAACGTTGATCAGTTCTGCTATTTTTTGAGGCTATTGGTCATATAGTAGATCATTTTGTCAAAAGGTAAGGGTGATCCGAGAAAAAGTTGGTAAATTGAAACAGCCTATTAGATTTCATTATGATACATTGTACAAAATTGAAATTGTATATATAAAATATGTAGAGTCCTATATTTTAATAATAAATTAATTACATTGTCAAGTAACAAGTGAAGATGTTTTATATGCATTGATTTGCTTTCTATCAATACAAGTTTTTAATTGTATGCTGCAAAATGAGAACATTGACCACGCCCACTTTCCAGGGGTAGGGTACTATAAAGTCATATTAAAAATCATAAACAGTATATTATCATTATTATAATTGTATTACAATATCAAACAAAGCTTGAATTAGTTTTTAAAAAACAATTTTGAGCTATTTAAGCTGCCATCTTTTGCTGGAAGCTACAAATATAAGATACGTGAGACTTAAAAATGACTAAAATCGCATATTTTTTTCCTATTAATTGCAATATTTCTGAGACTAATACAGATACCGGCCTATAACTTTAGGATATTATTCATCTTTGGACTAGTAATGTGTGCTGTAGAAAGCAGAACAATAGCAACTATATCCTTTATGTTATGAAAAAGTCTTATAGTACCCCCTGAAATCGCAGGAACTGAAGTCCAATTTGGCCGTGAAAATTGTTTTTACCACTTTAAAGGCCATCACCTTATATTTTCTTACACCTACTAGGTTACTCTAACATACTGCATTGCCAAAAGTTACTTCTTGCAAACTTCCGGCAAAACTGTGCCAGCATCTGATATATACCTTTTTCTGTACCGTTTTGCGGTTATTTTACTCTATGGCATTGCAATCCGTTCACATCATTAGCTACATAATTGATTAACTTAAATATATGATATGTAAATAAGGGTTAACACTAACAGAATAAACAGGAAAATGTACTTGAAGTGGCGATTGTGTTTTCTGTCAGTCAGTCTTACCCCCCTTACCCAGCTCTATAGTGCAGTATAAGGTGACCTGATTATGCAAATGAGAAGACCCCGTTGGTTTCTCGTCAGCTCAATCAAAACGGAAGCGGACAATCTTCGTTTTAACGGTTCGTGACCGTAATTCACTAGACTATCGAAAATAGGTTACGTTATAAGGATAGATTGTTTTTACTTACCAATCATCAACATGTGCTGACATATTCAGCTCTGGACTTTATGTCCAAAGGGGGGTAAGACACATCGTCAGAAAAAATTTCAAGTTATCACACCCCGATGATTGGCTAATTCAAATCGGATGCGGTAAAAAACCGAACGCCAATTTGCGAACAATCCGGGTATTACGTTCGCCCTTGGTTCGTCTGCCATTTTGACTTACACTGAAATAAATTATTTACACTGAACGAAAACAAATTCTTTGAAAATTCCCAGCATTGCCATTGAATATCGCCAGATATCCCACGACATGTGACCCGGTTTTGACCAATCATACTGTCGCTAGCTAGATAGTGATATGATAATCTGTTATATGACTTGCGACAAACCCATCAGTTCCCATTGGTTTAACATGGGAATATCGATTTTCAAAACTTCATCAAATTTGTCACCTATATCCGACCTATTGTTATTGTAGAAAAACATTGAGAAAAACTGGAGGTATTCTAAATGAATTAAATTTATATTTCAAGCCCTAAAGGTAGACTTTTCTTTACAGATTATGGAAAAAAATTCAAACATAAATAGGCATAGCCTTAGCATGTAAAATCCAATGGGGAAGTTAGGGTTGCCAATGTAGGGAGTGTACATTTTACCATTTCACACTTTTTGAAAGCAAGTAACATATTTTCCTACGTCATGAACTGTATCATATAACTTCCACGGCTGCATTGGTGCATAGAAACAATTATTGGTCAAACGATTCTTCCAGAGCTAGCACTTCGAATATTAGTTTCGTATATGCCAAATGAATAGGCACTAATTTTCAAAGTAGCAGAATACAGTCAGATCCACCCTGTAGTCTGATTAAAATATCAATTGAAATCACAAATGGTGTTTGTTTTTATAATGTGGAAGGAAGACAAAAATACAACCGACAAACATTTCCGTTGAGACATGGTGGTAGACTAGATAGCTAAAGGTAGGTAAATTTTTTTAATTAATTATTTACAAAATTTTATAAAAAGGGTAAGAACTCGTTAAATAAAACAAGGAGACATTTGCGTTCCACAGCTGCTTATACTTAATAAATTGATGCCTCTAACGGTTTATTAAGTACCCATCTGAAATTCTCATCTTCGGGGATCGTAGCGTTCATTCATTGTTTAATTGACGACATTCATAATTTGTCATCTTTCAACATTGTTTAGTTTTACTTTCAATGGCCCTAATGATTTTATGATATCGATCCCTTTGAAGAACGTACATGTCTCCAGTGACTTACGAAGATAAGCCCTCTTAATAGTTTTCCTATTTAGAAAGGTCTGTTGTCAAAGATAATTACTGCACTGGAGCATCCACACTTTCAGATTATTCTTTTAAACCGTAAACCATTGATCTAATATTACATGTTCCTACACATCCTGGGCTCTTAAAACCCAGTTAGTTAGTAACAAAATAGAATGAACTGTATTTTATATTAAAGAATATATGCAGTTGTAACAAAACAAGAGTATATTATAATTTTTTCTATTGTATTTAAATAATGGACACTTAGTAAGCTATCGAAACCATTGTGGCACAAAAGATTGACAGTTTTGATAGTTTCCATCATATAAAAACAATAAACAAATGTACATGCACATATACTCTTTTTTCTTTACTGTGCACTCTAAAATAATTCATTGTCTGTGTTGAGCTAATCTAACTTTAAAATTTTCCTCCGTGTTATTCAATGTAATGTCTACACTGTACCTGAAATAATTACACCCTGCTCAATCACCCATTAACTCATTTACCTCAAGTATCAATAGATGAATAATCAATGCAAAAAGGTCAAATTTTACAGTTTAATAGTAACGTTTAAGCTCAAATGAATCATGGACCATTTACCTTTCATAAGAGTCAGTGTGGGTTTTGAATTAGATTAGATTTTTAATTATTCTTACTGGCTCTTATGGAAAATAAATATTTCACCCAATAGCCAGTGCTCATGGTTTATTCATTACACAACACAGGTCTGTTTCAATGCATCTCAGGTATTGTATTGGTATTGCTGATCTTATTCTTTTTCGTGTATGATACCCAGCAGCATGGCGTATAAGCGGATTGCAGGAACACGTTGGCGCCTATGTCCAAGTATACTAGCCACTGTTATTGTCATACTAATTAAAGGTCAGTTTGCGCATTATGGTTTGAATTTACACATTTTACAATGAGAACTAAAGAATGTCAACAGTTTAAAATGCCATATCATGAAATTATTTTACTGCCACTATGCCTTCAAAACAATAACTGTATTGTGATCTTGTTGTATAAACAAGGACAAAAAGAACATTTACTGTGCAATTAGATGTATAAACAAACAAAATGCAATTTGCTTTCATTATAATATAATTGCTTTTCATCCTTTTTTCAGGTTTTGAGGTTCAAGGTAAATATAGTTACATGACTTATTCATAAGTTTGTATTTGGTATGCAACATCCCTATAGTAGTGAGTAGAGGAGGCGATATTATTGGAAGGCATGCACTTGCATTTCTGCCTGGAAAGAACAGCTTCTTGCAGACTCTAATAAGTGTTTTTCCGTCAATATCAATTCCTTCTAGCCGATGTATTTCATATTAATAGCACTTGCTTATATATAGAACGTACATGTATATGCCTATATAGTTCCTCAATAAAAATATTCATGGGAAAATACGTCTTGTCAAAAAGTGGCTCACTTTTTGGGACACCCGATGATACACAGTGTGATATGTACCAACTTAGAATATCAGTTTACTTAATTCGGTTTTATTTTAGGTCAGGTAGCAGATTGTTCCTCTACAACGTTTGTGGATGTGGACACACTGGATGCTGGGGTTGAGTTAGCTTTGAACTCAGTGGCTACTGGCTACGTAACGGCTGGTTACACATACCACTTCATAGTAAGGGATGTCATCAAATTGTCAGCAGCTTTGGAATAACGCTAATTTCGTTAGGGGAGGGGGTAAATGACGATGCTAAAGGGAATTGATTTTGTAAAATATACATATCTGTTAATGGAAGAAGTAAAACATCCTTTATTAAGCGATCAGACCTTTATCCCAACACTGCCATATGTTGGTGTAATTATTGGAGGCTTTAAGCTAGCGATGTTTTTCACAACGTAACCGTGAACGCAAAGTCAATGAATCAATACAGCAATGTATGTAGTGCGCATCCCAAAACAAGCGCTACTTACCTATTTGCGAATGCAACTAAAGCTTGTCGGATGCCGGATTAACCTACTATTTCATGACCAACTCATTTAAATATGAATCGAATATTGGCAGGTACTATTCATATTTAAATGAGTTACCCATAAATTAGCAGGTTAATCCGGTAGCCGACGGGCGTTAGTTGCATTATTATTATCGACCTTAGCCTATGGAAAAAGTATAATTCAACGCTATAAGTATAATCCGATGACAATCTCTACGGAGGCCATGGGCAGATCCTCTGCACGTATCTCTCAGTTTAGGAAGATATCGACCGCCGTATCCTAGCCGTAGAAAATGCTTTAAAAGCATATTAAGTAATGTTAAAATGTTACATGTAGGCTCTTAGAAACATTTCTCATATTTTTATAATATCATAAATATTTTATTTCAGAGTTTCCAATTCATAAATTATCAGAAGGACCAATCCTATATAGGATTGGAAAAGTTCTTCATAGAGGGGGCAATAGCGGAATTTGGCTTGGCACAGATGGTGAAACAATATATTAGTGATAGAGGCGGATGTGTATCGTTCCCTTTAATAGAGGTGAGATAATAAATAAATGATGATAAAATTAGAGAAAAATTGTATTAAAACCCTCGATCTGATCTGAGAAAACAAAATTATCTAAAGATTGTATTGAGGCACTCTTATGACATGACGTTTTTTTATTTATTTATTTATTCATTTCCAACATAGGGGGGGGGGTAAATGTGTACAGGAAGATGTAGGGTGACATTATGACAATGTATTCTGCAACTTCCATGAGAAAATGGTTTCAACATATTACAATCACAATTGTTAAAAGTCGGGTATCAGAGATGTATAGCAATAGCATATTTACTTCTTTCACCCTGTATGAGGAGAACTCAGAAGTTAATAGTAGGCCTGACACACATTCCATAAAGTACAGATTTCTATGCTGGAGTCCAATGTCTTTGTATATACAATATCATAGATATAATATTTTTTGTATAAACAATATCATAGATATAATATTATTATAATAAATAATACAACACGTTTAACAAAACTTTTACATTTACAGGATCCGACTATCAATTTGTTTTCGCAAGAAATTGCATTGACGAAAGCAATTGGTTTTACAATTGCGTCTTGTGACGAGCTTAACACTCTTGTTCAAGGGGCAGAGGCTGTCAACGACACTGCTGTAAGTCATTCATTTCGAATTATATATTGTTGCCAAAACAAGTTCAAGAATGTTTTACGAATTTTAATTCATAACCTTTGAACATGTTCGAATTCTCATTGTCATACGATTTTGAGTTAAATTAGTTTTTGTTTACTATTTATTTGAATTTGACAATATTCCCAAAATCGCCAACATGAGTGGCTTATCAGCACGGTATACCAATCACTCCATTTTGATTCCTCGACCACTCTCAAGCTTTGGCTAGAATTTACTTTGACTTGATTGATGCCATCTGACAAATTTTGAAAATCATCACATGACATGACATGTAGATACTTGATTAAAATTATGTAAATACAAGTGTCATGAAAGTAAAACCATGGCTTTTTATTGAATAGGACATTCAGAAAAATAACATTTGACATCCCCAATATTCCTAACAAATATAAAACGTAAACATTTATTAATTCATTGCAGACTGCAGCATTTGGGAGACTGTTGCTGGAGGAACGCATAGCAATAGTTAAGAAACTCGTTGGCTACCGACTACAAGCAGTAAACGCCAAGCCCAAAGCGTCTGATAGATGGCTCTATGATCGTATTGACGACTTTGATTGGTCCCCACTCGGCAAAGATGTTTGGGACCGGTTGGTTCTGTTCTATGAACCTGGAAATCGAAAATTTGACTTCGAAGGAAATATCCTTGGGAATATTCTGTCTCTGGCATTCCAGAAAGGTGTGCGTTTAACCAACGCTGAACGGGTTATATTGAGCGAGATACTAGCGGCGAATCTGATTGAAGACCCAATGTCTCGTCCGAGAATGGATCTTGTTGATAGCCCAATAAAAGATGGTATCTTCCAAGAGGTTACACACATCAATGACTTTACGTTCCATTCGAATTTTTGGCGCAGAATTGGTTCAGTTGTAATTCGACTTCGCCGGCAAGTTGATCTTTTTAACGAGGGGAACATCCCATCCTCTGCAATCATACGCTTGAAATAATCTAATCGCAGGAAACTTATATGGGATTGCTGATGTTTTGCATGGGTTCATATTTTTCAAAAGGACCAAGGATTCATTGTTAAACCGCGAGACGTCAACCATCAACATGTTTTTAAAGACAGAGTAAAGGCACTAAAGAGGAAAAACCAGAATAAAACAAATGTTGATCTTAAAATAGCTTGATAACAGACACAAATTAAAATTTTTGAAGTTTCTTTATCAAAGCGGGAAGATATGCCCTGGAGGGGGAGATATGGAGGTTCTGGATATGGAAACCTTAAAATCAGGATTTGGGATATATCTTACCAACTTATCTCCCTAAAACTCTACTTGACATAGGATAAATAAGGGTTATGTACTGGGAGGTTTTTGATATAGGGTAAATCCTGAGGGATATATTAATATCTCCCCGAGGGACCGAAGGGACCAAGGGGAGATATAAATATTTCTCGAGGGATATACCCTATATCCAAAACCGACCGTACACAACTGGTGTATCTCATACTTGTTTGGGTTTGGGGTAGATATAACCTTAACCGATATAACCGTAAAAGCACAATTTATATTCAACATTTTCGTAATATTCCTTTAGTTCAATACAATAAACTTGTAAGATTTAAACTTTAAAAAAATAAAATTTTAAAATTTAAAACTTAAATTTTTTAAAATTTTTTGATTTTAAACTTTTGAAAAATTCCCGGGAGCGGGGGGATATATTATATATCTGTTCGCATTTTGCCTGGAGCGGGATATGTACAATATATCCTGCCCGTTCCTCAGATATGATATATATATATTCCCGGGTGATATCCACCCCAAACCCGAGATACACAATTGTATGAATTACCCACTCTGAATTTATCATTAGAGGATCTTAGATTGAATGAATAATATTCAGAGGTTAATAAGAAGTTTGTAACAAATATGACAAAAATAAGATGATCTAAACTTCAAAACTTGAATTCATAAACAACTTAAAATGCCCTAAATATCTGTTAATGAAATCTATTCTTGTTTTGAAATTGGCACTCTACAATGACTCTACATCATTATTATAAGATTGAATCTAAAAGGTGAGTTGCATTTTGTGGTTACCCGGCCTGAGTATTCCGTTTTCGTAAAAGGTTCCAAATTTTCTCGAGCCAAACTATGTACTGGAAAGATACATGCCATGATTGCACTAGTAAGGTAAATCATTCAGAACTAAATACTTTAATAAATATCATCTATATATATTTTCTGTAAGTCAACAACATCGGATACATTTACATACCTATAACTAAAAATATAACTAAATAACTGCATTTGTGAACAGCTATTACTTTAACAAATTCATGGTTGACATTTACAAATATGCACATTGCAATCTGAATTGCAGTAAAAAACAGATAAAAGAATGATAAGATACGGTTTTGAGAAACATATACGTGACTTTGGATGTTCATCTTAGGATTGAATTCTTGTTGTATGTTGCGATCGTGCAACTCAACAGTCTGACCATCTTATGACTATTTACATAAATCAGGTCACATTTCCAAAGAATTTTGTTTTCAGCAGGTCTTGTGGTACATATTGGAAGTGAATTTGTTGTTTTTGGCGTCGCTTTAATTTTAATTTACACTTTAAGAGTGGGGTGTTTTAGACACCTTAATTACTATTAACTTTACATAAATACAGAGTTTTTAAGTTTTTGCAAGCGGAAAGGGTTTAAAATTTCCCCTTGATTGAATTGTGTCACCATAATTCATCCAAAAAGAGAAACAGATATGAATTCCTGTAATTAAATCTCAGCCATCCCTAATATCATTTAAATGCCAAGAAAATTCTTCTGGATTGCTTGTATATTGCTCTTTTGTATTAATATGTTTAATTCTGAGAATGGAAAATCTGTCACATTTTAATCGAGCCCCTAAATTTGGCGGCCATACTGGATATTCATATTGTTTTGAGTTTTGTGATAACCATGTCATTGGATATAGAGGAACACAAGTATAAGAATCATGGAGGAATAGGTAAGATTGTATATATCGTACCATTTATGTGATATTTAGATAAGGATAGGAATATCTGAACTGAGTTTCCTAAAATATGCTGATTAATTTATCTCAATGTCAGTATATACAGAGAGGTCTAGAAGTAGAACTGACATAATGGGGTTGTAACAATGACAGAAAGTTTAAAAAAGTTACATTCGTCGTGATATATAACATATTCCCAAATATGATGTTTAAAAACTTTGGATATAACTAGGTGTAGTTTAATGAATTAATGATACAGTATATAAGCCAGAATTTAGAAAAATACACATACAATCTACATTAAATATGTACAGTTTATATACATACTCTTACAACCGATAACACTTAAATAACAAACATGAAAGTGAAACAATTTTTATTCCATGTTTTACATGGACTAAATATACATAACGATTACAATATGTGTAAATGTCAAACCATTGTGTTAAAAACAGATTTAAGGAGCAACATTGAACATGTTGAAATAATATAGCAATATAAAAATGTACACGTTTATTATTAACATAACTTAATATAAAAATATCAAATCCAAAAACGAATCATTCGACGTCCATATTGGTTGTACACAACACAAAAATCGTTGCAAATTAATCAGTTTTTAGGCACTTCCTTTAATTCCGCTTCCAAAACGAAGCTTATTCTCACCTGTGTTACAGTACATGTATGGCTCTATTATGTTATGTGACTACTCTACTATATCTTACTGCATTGCAGCCTATGCTGTTTAATAACATGCTCTTAATTCTACATGTTTGAAACATTCAAATTCATAATAAAAAATTATACAATTAAGACACATTTGGATTGTAAGCAATTTTATTTGCAATTCCTTCAAATTTATGATATCACAGCCCAGAGTCCTTTTCCTTTGAAACATATTCGAATGGCACAGTCAGTTTATTAATTTCGCGCCCGTCACTGTATGATCTTGTACTTATTTTACTATTTATGTAACTACTTGCTTTATATTCTATGGAGGTTCACGAATCCTTGACATTTTTGACACTGAAATGTCCCCTTAAACATTCATATTAGTACACCTCCATGCTCCTATATTTACGTACGTGGAACGAAAGGCTTCACATATGTTTCATAAGCATTACCTCCCTTACAACTATCTCAGGAATGAACTATACCTGGTTTCCTATGATATACTGGCAGTAACGTAACTGTTTTACTGTTTTATGGAAGGTATTCACAACGAAAACCAGCCCATGTATTTCCGACACAATTTTACAATGTGCCTATCCCTATTAATATAGTGTCTCTGTAACATTACTTATATTTGATTGTTGTAATTCAAAAGTCTTTGTCCCAGCCAGTAAGGTCATCTATAGGTTCGTCGTCATCGTCTGGATAATCATCAAAATTCGAGGTATCTGTTGCGTTTCGTACCTGAGAAAACCAAAGGTGAAAATAAGGGGGATATCAATAGCCTTTAGAAGGTGCACATGTAAGTCCAAACGGGGCACTATTGTTAACAGTTGTGCCTGTTATCAAGGTGTTTTTGAGAATAATGCATTTGAAAACAACGAATGGCTTACAATACTCTTAAACGAGATCAGAAAAACTGTTCGGTAAAGAAAAAAGTTCTGTAAATATGTCACAAACTTACACTTGGAACGTATGGAGGCTTCAATGTTTTACGTTTCAGTCCATCCCAGTTGAAGCCATCGAACCATCTATGTTTGCGGATATCGTTTATTCCTCCTTTCCCATATCCTAGACGTTCACTTGGGTTGTCTCTGCAGTATCAATTTAATAGCAATTTCAAAATAAGTATTCATCGAGTATGTTACTATTTTTTGCTATAGTCTTATTCCTTATGATAATTAAACAATATAAATAAAAATAGTGTACCTGCATAGCTTCTTTATTAGGTTTTGTGCGTATCTTGTTATCTTTCTTGGACAGTCTATTGCATCTATCCCCTTCAGGATAATGTTGTATGTCTTCATGGGGTCTGACCCAGTGAATGGAGGACTGAAAACGTAACTCAAATATAAGACAATTCTTTATATCATATTTTCAGAGCCCGATGACTAAATTTCAATGAGGATATGTGCAATATACATTTAGTAATTATCCTATGAATATCAACTCCGATATGTGCAATATAATGTACATTTAGTAATTATCCTATGAATATCAGCTCCGATATGTGCAATATACATTTAGTTATTATCCTATGAATATCAACTCCGATGTAAACTATTGTCATAGCAATTGAAATAGTCTAAATGTATATGTAAAACACTGGGATGCATTTGAGGTCTCCTCCATATTGAAGTGAACATATCTTAATGCCTACCTGCCAGTCAGAAGTTCAAACATCAGAATACCAAGTGACCAGTAATCTGAAGAAATATCGTGCCCCTTGTTCAAAATGATTTCAGGCGCTACATATTCAGGGGTACCACAGAAAGTCCAGGTTTTGCGACCATGTCCTATTTTCTTTGCAAAGCCAAAGTCGACCTGAAACAAGAAGCTTGAACTTTAAAATAGTTTCAATTAACCTGTCAATCCTAATTTGAACAATATTAAGTGATCTATTAAGTGATCTATTAATCTCCATCTGTCAAAATATATCTTATACAATATAGAAATACTTATTCAATATGCATCAATCTATCGAACAGCCCAAGTTCACCTTTCTTACGAATATGCTTTTGCTGCAAAGATGTTATCCCAAATCTTGCTCATATACACAGTAGACTGGACTATTACATGGCAATGTTATATATTGCAAATGTTGGATGAGACGATACGCTAATAATGAAGTGTTCTTGAGATCAAAGAGCGACTCTTACCAATTTTATATAGCCTCTTGTATCGAGAAGCAGATTTTCGGGTTTCAGGTCCCGGTACACAATTCCCTTGGCATGAAGGTAGGCGAATGCCTCAACAACACAACCTGTGTAGAATCGCGTAGTTGCGTCATCAAAGCAGCCTCTACAAAAAAAAAACACAACATATGTATATAAAGGAAACAATGAAGGGTGCTTCCTTTATGTGGTTTTTGAATTTAACTATTACCAACCTATATACATATTCAAAGTGAGGAAATGTATAAATAAACTGTTTATATTTATCATAATTTTTTCTGGTAAACTAATGATTGAAAACTGGACAGTTTTTATTTGTTGCATAACGGGAGTTAAAACCTTCTGCGCCGTAAAGGTAAAATACACTTTTTATCATCTAATGTACATAGGTCTAGATGTTATATTAGCACACAGACACAGCAGTGCATATGTACATTTTAACAAAAAAATGCCTTGGTAAATATAGTGAATGTTAGACAATATTGACAAATAACATAACACAGCACAAGCACTTGGTGGAACTAATCAAACATGTGAAGAAAATGTGAATGGTGTGACATAGACTACAAAGTATCATATCCATGTGCAGACATGTGATAGTTGTAAACTGACAAAACGATTATGATACATTATACAGCAACCCTACGTTGTAAAGTGTATAGTCTTAAAAGATGTGGACGATGTTTCAAAAGTTCACAATGGTTCCTCTGTACTCATGATTAAAATTACTATGGATTGTTTTGCTTCACTCCAGGAAATACTGTCAATGTTCATTTTATGTAAGAAGTCATTATAAAAAAGATCGCATACAGTATTCCCGTTGTTTTATCATCATCTTTGTATGAAGGATTACCAAGTGAATAGTATGCAACGCTAAGATAAAATTAAATTCAGGGAAATGTAAATCATCATTCTGTGCGGCCACAAATAAGATATTAGGCTGTTATATTATTTCAAATTTGTTATTAAAAACAGAAAAACAAATAGATTGACGGTCGCAGTAGTGGTGAAATTTCATAATGTGCCAAATAAAACGAAATTAAGTAAACGACTGAAGTATTCTTTACGACACGGTCTATTATTACTAAATTGTTTGCAACTGATTTGTGATTTAGCCAGTTGTTTGACTTGAAGCAAATACTAGAATTCGATTTCCTGGAGTCATGCGTCCCATGAGCAATTACAATTTTATGGCAGGTGAGTTGGCGCAAAGGGAGAGTGCCTTCTCGCACATGTACAGTCGTATTTTGGGCTATCGAAACGTCGGCGTGCTCAGTAGTGTTATACAAAAGACGCAATGGAAAACTGTGTAGTAAACTAAAATCTATTAGATGTTAGTCAATCAGAATGACTGCACATGAAGCTTATTGAGATTTACGACGGACATATGTATCTCTGCTTACGTTTTCCTGGAGCAAAAATATAAATTGGGAAATAAAACAACATGCACAAAATAACATCCATTATCTATATATAGAACTCAAATTGTGAGCCAAACTCGAAATTTCATTATCAGTGATATAATTATGGATATATACCACGTGATGATGCAATCAATTGATAATTATATGTTGAAATTACATGCAGGGCATGAATATAACCAACCAGTGAACTATTTTTAATATCATTTCTAAGCAAGCAATAAAGTTGTTATTATTATGTTATTTTATTGAACTACATGATATAATATATAGGTGTTGTACTTACTTGTCTCTAAGAACTGTCCACACCTCACCACCGAGACAAACCTCCAGTAACATGTACAGATATTTTCTATCTTTAAATGTTTTATATAACCTGAAAAATCGCATATCGTCTATATAAAATACTATTATTTAAAATGTCTACCAATCGATATGATTTGTGTCATTTCGTTTTTCTGATATTCATTCATACCCACCCTGTAGTAAGCACATTTCATATGATATATATACATTTTGTATATTTAAAAAAAACTAATGCTTGATAGAGTAACATTATGTAACAAAGATATGCTCAATGTAATATTGGGTTGAATGCAATATTGGGGGAAAGAAGAAAATATTTGATCAGATAGATGTCTCTATTTGAATCTCATCTACCTGTTTGATGAATGAATGAAAACATATCTCTATACTATGTACGGGCCTAGTTGGTATACTAGAATAGTATTAGCCCATCGAGATAGATATTGAAAATTAATGTTACCTAGTAATAAATTCACATCTTGACTCTTGCATAATTCTCTTTTCGTTCATTATATGCTCCTGTTGTCGAGTTTCCACAATGTGATGTTTTTTGAGCTGTTTAAGTGCATATGTCTTGCTATTGTCATTATTTATTTGTACCTACAAATACAATTTAACAAATATAAATGCAATTTAAAAATATATAGATATAATATATAAATAACGAATTGAAATGTAAAGAATTACTTGCACAATCGGGATTAGGTACCTTTAAAGGTATTGGTTTCCCGGTTTGTCCATCTGCATTCTTACTCATTGACACATTATAGAGTGTTTCTAGTATATCAGACCTATCTAATGACATGGTATAATCCAACATTATACGAGAAAAATATACTTACTAATTCAACACGTCCGAAGCCTCCCACTCCAAGTGTTGCAACAATACTTAAATCATTTAACCTCAGACTTTGGTATTCTTTGTCAACACTGTAAACAAAATATATAGAATAATAAATCGTTTATTTAGTACTGGATTTGGTATGCTACATATTTAATAGTAAACATTTATTTCTCTTTAGTTCGAAGGATTTGAATATATAGATGGAATAGATGATAATTTGATGATGCACTATGGTGCAATTCTATCCTTTAAATAGGTTATAAAACATATATTCAAATGAGGTGTTAGCAAGTCGTCCTGGGTCTAATATGACTTCGGAAATGTTCCAAGACTAACACTTCCTCAATTTTTGTTATGTCTACTAGTTAGTTTGTATACACATTTCTAGAACCATGCAAACTACCACATATCAATACAGTCAGTGACTGAATACCAGCTGGTCACAATGTGTAGCTGAAAAAGCAGTGTTTTCAACGTGGCAGCTATCACTCAAATGTGTAGGTGTAAACCAAAAGGCATATATTTGCAATGTTGAAAAAATGTTTGATCAGATTTGTGGCTTTCGACTAGACGTAAAACTCGACAAAGGCATGTATAGAATATTGTATCAATTTACCTAAAAACATTTTATAATATTTAGTTTAATTTATTATAGGGAAATATCACCTCGATCAATTGATCTCCATGAAAAAGTAAATCTGAACAGTTTTCAAATTTTAATATAATTAACTTGTATATATATCGCAGAAGGTATTTCATAACTTATTAAACTTTTAGTCTTTTTGCATGATAATATTATTTTCTATCAAAATAGGAAGGCTATATTATTGTATTTATCAAGAGTTTGTAAGTATATATCAATACAGATGAAAGCAAAAGCATAGTAAGCAATACAAAGTTTCAAAGAGATATACAAACAATGCAAACACCTACAACTAATTAAATAGTGGTAAAGTAATGGTAGTTCCATGCTTCATTGGTCAGTATCAAGCTAAGGTAACGGCCATTCCCCTCGCATCTAAGATGGCGGACAGTAATAGTCGATTTCGATATATTCGGTTTCCATTGAATTAAACTACTTTATAGTCGACGTTATGCTTTTGATATTTGAACCATATCAGGCTTAGGACATGAGAACTCTGGAGTATTTGTTTATAGTTCAAATAGCAAAGCATTACGTCAACTACAAAGTAGTTTAATTCGATAAAAACTAAAATTTATCGAAATCGAGACTTACTGTCCGCCGCCGTCGTCTACGGTCGTTACCTTCGCTTGATACTGACCAGTGATGCTTGCCATAGTTCTGAAAGGCATTGTATTATTTTTTCCATGTGTTCTTTCCCTGGCAATAGGTTGAGATCCAAAGAGTACAGTGTGGCACACAAGTTGATATCATATTTTAGTAGGATTGGTATTCAGGGTTTAGGCACATTCAATGACACAGGAGGACTAATGAAGGTACTCGCTCCCTGCCATAAATTCCAAATTCCCTTCACTGTTTCGGGAAATGCAACACAAAACAATTAGGGTTTCGGAGTTTGGAGGGAAGTATACACACATACAGCAAACTACATGTTAGCAAATGGTATGTTATTATCCAAACACAAATGGGTGGTATCTAAAGTACATCCTGCGTAAAAGAAGAACGAAAGCAAGCCGATGAGACTCTAAGGTGAAATCAAGCCAAAAATAAATCCAACATATTTTTATGAAGAAACATCATAAGGGTCGTATTGATCACATCGACTCTCGATCCAAACACCTTTGATGTTCTAATTCTTTTACAGAGGGTTGTACTTATAAAGCATGCAAAAGTTGTTAAAGAAGATGCAAAGACAGAAGACTGACCCGCCAAACGGATGATCTATGCCATCAAGCTCTATTCGTGTCCTACGTGAACAGAACATGCAGATATGAAAATGATAGTCTACAAGATAATAAACTTTATTCAAAGACAGAAGAGTCAAGCATGTATTTTTGATACTAATGCCTTAATTTTGCATGACTATCTTGTCAGTTGCGCATTGCACTCGCCTTTACTAATTATAATACTACAACAAAAACTAAACATAACGCTAAAACGATAAACTTTTCTCGAAAATTATTTCAGTTTCTTCGACCATTATGCCCACGTGCCCGTAATATAAAAATATTAAGTTAAAATAAGTTTGTGTGTAAAATAAACTAAAACGTATATATGTGCAGAAATATATATTCAACAGACGTGTACTTACGATTCTTTTCTTATATCATCTTCGTATTCTTTTCGAATATCATCTATATTGTCTTTCAGTAGTTGAGTGTACGACCTAGAGAAATGAAAAATACATTTCAGACACTTGTACTATGCCGCACTGGTGCCGTTCTATAATATTTTGATATTCTTCTCAATAGATTATGGTATTCTGGGAAATGTTTCGTGGTTTGGTCTTTGGCCTGATGCCTATAGGATAACAAGTTCCTTATGTACAAGGTGGTGCGAGCTAATTCTGATGTTGATGTTGAAAGTTATCAAAATAACAATAAGGACTTTGATAAAACTGTGTATATGCCCAGGCCTACCATCAAAGACTATGTTTATGTTAGGTAGTAGTGTTTCTCATTTCTACTTACTCTCTGTCGAGGACAAGGCAGTCAACACCAGTAGTATCAGCAGCTACAATTCCAGCACTTCGAGTGTCTTCACTGAAAAACATAATAATATATTAGGTTATATTCTTCCATTTTTTCATAAGCCAAAGACTACAAATTATGAGCCATAAAGGTAGAATATTTGTTGTTCTTGGAAAATGGCAACACGACATCCAGGGATTCAATAGATGGGAACAAAAACACATTCAAAACAAAATACATTCACGATAAATATTTAATATAGCTTTCATACATACATACATGTTGTGAAAGTACGATTATCTTAGATAAAAACCTGTAATCGGATTAACATTGTAAAGTTCACCTCGAAACCTCGTACTTCAAATTTTACACAGAGAATTGTAGAGCTACATTTCACTGAAGCATTCGTAAAAATGTCTAGTTGGCGTTAGTTTATTAGAAGCCAGGTTCTCGAGGTGGTTCTAGAAGATCAATTCACGATTAATGTCATACATTTACTAATGTGCATTTGTGTCAAAAATTAACCTGATCATGGCATTTATGTGGACGTTACAGGAAAAGACAACTGTCACCCTATACATATAATACATTCATGCCGTACACAATATGAACCCATGTTGGAATTAAAATGATATCAGAAAAAATAATGTCAGTTCGACCGAATAGATATATTCGTGCACTAGTCATTTCCCTGTGGTCTATGACTCACTGTAATATTTATTTTGGAAAACTTTGTATAAACCATTTTACACCAGTTTCTGCAGCTGGTCTTGTAGAAGAGCGATATTCATTTCAGTATAATTGGACGGAGCGTGTTGCAAGTTTGTTTGGATTTGCATGATTTATGAATGTATTTAGATGAAATGTTATCCTGTATGCATTGTACACTGTTGTAGAACTAGATACACATGTGAGCCAGGACACTTGAATAAAAATACAATTTTACAAAGACTGAACTAGAATGTATTGTGTGATGATAACATTATTTAATCAAAACCTAAACTTAACGAATTTTGGGGGACTACATGAAAACCTATTAACAATATGATTGAAAAACGTTTCTCTGTTGTCATATTTTAAGTTTCATCTCTTATGTATATGTAACATTCGGCATACCTTCTTTGGGCACGAGTAGCTCGCCTTCGTTTCTGTCTACATGATTTGCACCTCCCCAATCGCTTTTTCTCTTCTTTGCCCAAGTCTACTGCTTTTTCCAAACAAGAACATATTAGAACAGGGTCAACTGAAGAAACGTTCTCTTTTCTATTCCGTCTCCTGAATGTTATACAGTTATAATTTGGAATTTTTAGAGTACACTCTGTGTCACTTATATCACCACTCACTCCAGTTCTTGCCTCGAATCGTCGTCCAAGCATTGGAGACTTATTACTGTTAGTTTCATTATCAGAATCATCATCATTAAATGAAGATTGTGGAGGTGTATATTCCTTAACTTCATTGTTGTTATTATTTTTATCCCCTGTAATATCATCGTCGTTGTTTGATACACTCACACTTACACTAAATGTAAAAGTGACATCCTCGACTACATCTTTACTTTCCTCAGTTTCCTCGGCTGTATATTTTTCCTCCATGATATCTAGGTTTACACTAAGATCCCCGGACTCACAATCTGTACGTGGGTCTGACGGTTGCATTAGAACCATTGTTTATCCTATACCTGTAGGTATTATATGTTGCTATATTCTGTACGTATTCAAACTTCAGCCCAATGTAGGCTAATATATTGTGTTTGATGGCTGAAACTGCCTCCGAAAATAAAACCACCAAGTTAAATGACGTAATAAATTGTGTTGGAAAATCAGTTCTTGGCTTAAATCCCGTTTTCAAATGAGTTTGGCGAGAAGAAGGTTTCGTTTTTATATATTGCTGAAACTGTCAAAAATTTCCCAATGCATCTGGTTCATGGCAGTTGGATTTATCAGGAGAAACAAGAGTTCTCAAGTGTTCACTGACTCATGTCTTGTTTTGATAATACATCTTCAGCTACTAGGCCAATACTGCTTGACTAATGGCTATCCGAAACTTGAAGGGTTGCCAGATTAAAACAGGGTTAATCGATTTTTTAATCGGAGCTGTATCCTTTTTATCCCAGCGGTTATCCCTTTCCTTGGATTATATTCCGGTTATTTAATCCACTCGGGTGATGGGACGGATGTTTATAGTTTTTTACGCTGAAATTTATGTTGCTATATATTTTGTGTTCTGGTCATTGTTGCACTGGAATTACACCAATAAGTTCTGCATATAGCACATCCCGCTATAAATCAGTTAGAACCCAGTGTAAAGCTTCATTTTACATAAATCTTCAAAACGTTTTGTGTTTCTTGTGGTTGGTTCTCACTTCAGCTTACTTAGCGTCTGTTTGTTGATATGGCAGCTTAGAAGAATATGACGGAGCTTTTATAGTAACACTAGCGCTGCTAACCACGAAGCCGAGCCGTGCCTTGCTGGATTGGTTTGCCTGATACAGCAGGTCAGCTATACACGATGATAGATTCGAATTCAGACTGGAGTGTCTGAGATGATTACATAACCAGGGGTGCTTGCTCATCATGCTAGAGCTCTTTAATATCTCAATCTCTGTGTTTAATCAATTCTCTCAATTTTATGGCCTTGACAATTTTCGTTTTTCGTACAAATTAAAGTCATAACATGTAAATTGGCAAACAAGTTGTATTAAACGATAAATATAAATACTTGAGGTATAGGGACAGCGAAAACCATTGGATACCAGTGACGGTCTGTCGGTGTATTGATTGTTATATATAATATATATGCATATGCATGTATATCTTTCATATATCGAGTTAAGAGGATGTACTTTTTCTTTCTATTTCATCCATGACAGACATGTAAGCTGGCCTCAGCATGTTAGTGTTAAGTGTTTTAGGATATTACCAGATCAGACAAAAAAGGTATATAAGACGATTGTTGATTTCAATGCACATGAAATGGTCATATGACTTGCATTGTGGGCATCAAGATGGGCAGCCATTATCCAATTGATTGAGTGTGACACGAAATACGGCAGACTGAACAACAACGAATGGGGGGGGGGTTAAAGCCCAATTACTCAATAGAATAAAGTGCAAAGTAAAGCTGATTACTATATATGAGTCAATATCAGTAAGAGGGAGCAAATTCACTGAATGCTCTGTGGTTAAGAGATGTAAAATATTTCCAGAACCAGAAACCCCCTAAATTGGCTCTATTATGGGTGCACCCAGGCCATTCGGGGACGTTTTTCATCGAAACATATCAGACTCCTGTCATAGATAACTTTCCTACGTCATTGCCTAAGAACATGCTTGTTCTTAGTGCATTTTGAAAGATATCATATACATCAATCGTATACTGGTTTTCAACATAGCACTTGGACTTTCTCTTTATTTTTAAAAATAGACGGCATAACTTCTCAGACTACTTCTTGTTTTCTTAATTAAGCAACTCTAGTGCACGAGTAATCCTAGTCTCGCATCTTTGATCCCAGCCTTTATTCCAAGACCAATAGACCATCTACATGTATCTATAAGGGTAGTTTGATACTTTAAGGGCTAGTGCACATACCCATGGGATCTAGTTTGCTGCCTATTGTGTATTCCTGTTTTAGGGAAGGGTAATACTTTTATTCTTCTTAGCATTGTACAGAAAACCCTGTCTTAGCTAGTGAACACCTCTCTGTTATGAACACCTGCGTCTAGTGAATACCTCTTCCAAGCACATACTCCAGTGACTTCTGTATAGAATCGCCTATCTGTAGTGAACACTACCTATAGTGAACACTTTTTTTAGGCTACATAGGTGTTCGCTGTGCACAGGTTTGATGTATATTTGCATATTGCACACAATTTTGTCACTTTTGTATGAAAGAGAATTTCCCTTGAGTTGAAACATTTGGTGAAATATCCTGTATTGTTGTTATGCCGACATAATATATTTTTGAGTTATGTGTATGTTGCTCGTGGATTGTTTATGTTATTGTTTTGTTGATATATTGTTCGCCTTTAGTCAATCCTGTACCATCGGAGTGCAGACCGCTTAACATCAGCAGTTGCACAATGAAATTTGCCAAGAATGGACACAACCTAAATAGAACTACCCCATCCTTTTATCCAAAACATAAACAAGCATATATCACCTCACTTCTGTTCTAATTAGGCAATAGGTAAACATTACCTAACCACGAAACCATATCGTTAAGTAATATTGCAGATAAATTTTGCGTATAATACATGATTACATTATCATTGTAATCAATATATCCTATCTACATTACACTGTTGTACATCCACGCAGCCTCGACTTTAGTACTTTAATCTTATCTAAGACTATGTGCGCCCCAATGCACTTTCTGGCCCAGAATTGCGAAATGATTGAGTCGAGGTTGTGTACAAAACCAGTGTATGTAGAAATAAGTATTGTATCAGTTTTTTATGTACATGTTTCAGACGATATCCATTTTGTTTAAGTAACCCCCTTCGGACGAGGTTAAAAAGCAATTTGTTAAGCATGATGGTAGTGGAAGAGCTATTCAAACAAAATTGGAAAACAGCAACTCCCCTCCACAGCAAATCCTATCGAACAAAAAAGAATTTTGAATTGGGCGGCCACATTGAAAATTTCTTCTCAAGTAGATGTCCTGCGCACATAAGATATATAAGCCTATAGCCTAAATTTGAATAAAAACCGTCAAACGGTGTTTGAGTTATCGATCGGATAGACGAATGAATGAACGAACGGACGAAAGAATGAACCGCTTTTATATATCCCTGGAACTTCGTCCGGTGGGATAATGACGAGACAAGGTATATTTCTTCAGCCCTTTCATCGATCAAAAAATACATCGTTGCTTTGCCAACCAATCAACCAATCGCTGAAATGTGAGATGAAGGAATGATATGTGTGGTGAGGTTGTTCACATCATAAAACTAATTCCTGATTTGTTTTATGGATCTTCGAAATAGAAGATTGCATTTATGGGTTAACACCACAGACCTTCTACTTCTAAAACCAGATTACGACTATTTTATACAAATGCATGTAAAGAA